TGGCTCTGCGTGGCTCTGCGTGTCTCTGCGTGTCTCTGCGTGTCTCTGCGTGTCTCTGCGTGTCTCTGCGTGTCTCTGCGTCCTCTCTGCGTCTCTCTGCTTTGTGCGTCTTCCTGTGTGTCTGTGTGTCTGTGTGTGTCTTTGTGTGTCTGTGTGTGTGTGTCTGTGTGTGTGTCTGTGTGTGTGTGTCTGTGTGTGTCTCTGTGTTTGTCTGTGTGTGTGTGTGTCTCTGTGTGTGTCTCTGTGTGTGTCTCTGTGTGTGTGTCTCTGTGCGTGTCTCTGTGTGTGTCTCTGCGTGTCTCTGCGTGTCTCTGCGTGTCTCTGCGTGTCTCTGCGTGTCTCTGCGTGTCTCTGCGTCTCTTTGCGTCTCTCTGCGTCTCTCTGCGTTTCTCTGCGTCTCTCTGCGTCTCTCTGCGTCTCTCTGCGTCTCTCTGCATCTCTCTGCGTCTCTCTGCGTCTCTCTGCGTCTCTTTGCGTCTCCCTGCGTCTCTCTGCGTCTCTGTGTGTCTGTGTGTTTGTGTGTCTGTGTGTTTGTGTGTTTGTGTTGGTGTTTGTTTTTGTGTTTGTGTGTGTGTGCGTTTGTGTGGCTGCGTGGGTGCATGGGTGCGTGCCGTGCCGTGCGTGCGTGCGTGCGTGGGCGGGCGGGCGGGCGGGCGGGCGGGTGGGTGGGTCGGTGGGTGGGCGAGTGGGTGGGTGGGCGTGTGGGCGTGTGTTTGTGTGTGTGTCTTTTTGTGTTTGTGTGTGCGTTGTAAGATGTGGAAGCCATCAGGTTTTCTATTTCTTCGCCCGTCGCGATTATGTTGGCGGTTTTCAAAGGGACAGCAGATGGATTTGCGTTTCGTCGCCAAACTTTTGGCGCACACCCACTTGCCTGAAATGGCAAGATCGATCACGCACCTCAGCACGCAGGTCCTCGACTCCTTGCATATGCCCAGAGGAGTGCCACACCTAGCGTGCAGCGTGCGGACTCGTGTTTTGCAGCCTGGGCTTCGTGATATCAAAGTCTGCGGAAGTTGTTGAAAGCAAAGCTTGATCTTCATGCGAGTTCCACGTCTTCTATGTGTGGCGCGTGCCACTCTGAGGCGCTGGCCTCAATGCAGAAGGCCATTGAAATCGGGACCGGGGCTTCTCAGCCGCATTTGTGACATGGCCTCCGCTGGCGGCCGCCACTAGTCGCGTGGCAGAACCCAGCTCGTGTACGACAGTATCATTGTGTGCTTACTGTGGAAGTACTCAGCACCCGAACATGTCACATGTCACAGCCTACATCAAGAAAGGCACAACCTGCCTAAGCTGCTCCTGGCCCAGAAGATGCAGACATGGCTGTTATCGAATTTTCCGAATGGAGAAGTACTCCTGTTCCATGTCGCTTCAATCTGACAAGCTTGATTCTCGCATATGCACCCACTTTCAGGTTTGCTCAAGTTCATTGCACACCTCCGGAATTTGTTTGGCATGGGACAGCTTCGGCTTTGTTTCTTGGATCTTCCTTGGCTTCGGCCTTGGCTCTGCCCAGGTTGACAAGCAGGCCCTTTCGAGGCCAGACCGTGTCCGGAAGAAAGAAGCAATGCGTCGAACCGCCAGGGATAAAGAGCTTAGAGGGGAGATTGACGAAGCCCTATGCACGTAATGTGCAGAACTGTTATTATACATGTATAAGCGGCATGTGGGTATAGCCAAATGCTTGCTAAGCGCTGACCGGCCAGGGGAATTGTGCGGCTAGAACGCAAAGCTGCGGATTCCAAAGGTCCAGATGTGCCGCCTCCAGGCAGTCTATCTCGTTCGGGCCGTGGGGCCGGTCCAAATGGCTTCCTTCTCAGTCTTGATTGTCAACCCTACACAAGTTTCTATTGACAAGCTGATTTTTTTTTCGGCCTATTCCTTCTCCCCCCCAAATGAATCTGTTCGCTGCGTCGAACAGATACTGTGCGATCGGTCCCATGGTCACATGCACAGCCATTTCCCTCCAATCCAAAGGCAAGGCTCCATCTCAAGAAATGGGACGTGTTGAACGGTTTCCTTCATTCAGACTTGGCTTACTAGCTCTCTCCAGCTACCTTCAGGGTTTCCTCGGACTATTTGGTCTTTGTGGGCCCGCCGGTGGCATTTCAGCAAGTTTCATCCAGCGTCATGATATCGTGTGTTTTTCAAATTTCAGTCTCAAAGGATCCTGCTCTTGACATGAAATGTGCTTCGCCGACCTTTGGACAGGCCAGATTCAGTGTTTTACACTTTGTTGTCCTCAATGGTGTTGTTCAGTTTTCTCTCCCCGGTGCTTTCATAGTGGTTCGACCTGTATTCTTCACTGGACGTGGGATGTGTCTTCAGCGACCACTGAGAACTACGCCCTGCAGCGCCAGGCATCGAGATGGACATTAAGTACGTCGCAGACAAGGCCTTGGCCGACACGGAGAGCGGCAAAAAGGACAAGAAAGAGAAGAAGGAGGAGGACAAGACAGCAACAAATGACCTTTGGCAAGCAGTGAGTTGCGCGCTTTGATTTTGCTCAGCACCTTGGCAAAGAGAGTTATTTGTCCGGCTTTCATGGAGTGATGTCAGAGCTTGGTCCATGCTGTACAGCCTCGACTTGTGACGGACAGATCCTGTGAAGCCATGTTGCGCATCACCAGCCCTTTAAGGGTCTTTTCATGGTCGGGGAGTAGGGGTGGGCGAATCGGAACAACCCTGTGGCCCGTGGCAAACTGAGTCCAAACTTTGCATTTGCCAAGGGTGGCGCCACCAAAGAGATGAAATCAAAGGCACGGTGGGATCAGCCATGGCTCGAAATGAGATTCAAACTGACACAGTATGGTTGAAGATAGCGAAATCGATGTTATCAATTCCAAGCCTTACATGACGCTGGTCTCCGAACAAAAGCTGCATTTTGGTTTGTCTTTGTTCTGTAGCAGTGGCCTTTTAAGGCACTGCTCCTGACGTCCTCCGAATTCTTGGCGATTCGTCAGTTCTTTGCATGCTCGAGGCCAAGAGCAAGGGAAAATCCAAAGCGAAGAAGGCCAAGGCAGCGTGCTTAGTTTGTACGGGATTTCCAGCCGGAGCTGCAAATACCCCTGGCCCCGTTTGATCTGTGCCGAGAAATGGCATGTATTGAGGCAGAAAATTCTGAAGTGGAGGCTTCCGCAGCGGTGCCAGAGGGGCCCAAGGACACCTGAGGGCCCGGTTGCAACCAGTGCAGTTGAGTCTGAGACCTTAGCTTGATGGAGATGTTTGAGTGAATCAACTGATCCAAAATATCGTCCAAAACATCCAAAAGCGCAAACCTATGTTAGGCATTCCACGCCTGACAAATTGCCAGGCCAACAGTCCCAGCAAAATCAGCGGAACATAATGGCTTGGGATGTGGATGCGGAGGGGCTAAACGACAAATATGGGTTTCTCATGGTCAACATCACAACCACGACGAGGTTCAAAACAAGTGCAGTTGCACTCTTCAGCAGGATCTTGACAAATATGTTGGCAATGCTAAGGATGTTGCGCAGCAAGCGTTTCAGAAAACCAGAAACAAACAGTTGCAGATCACCCCAATGTGCCCCGAAGCTGCGCCAGCACCCCACCACTGCAAACGCAGCTGCAAAATTGCAGAACCAGAATGCCTTATTGCCGTATTACCTAGGTGTTCCTTCCATTTGGTCACTTTGTAGGGCTCTGGGCCCGGACACACAACAGAACAATTGTCCAATTGAGCGTGTGTGTTTTTCCCGAAAGCATGGCGAAGGGTTCTTCCGCTGGGTTCACTTGAGTTGTTCTCATGAGAGTCATTACAAGGTGTCATTGCAAGGAATCATCATCATGAAAGTCAAGGAGTCATTGCAAGGAGTCATTGCAAGGAGTCATTGCAAGGAGTCATTGCAAGGAGTCATTGCAAGGAGTCATTGCAAGGAGTCATTGCAAGGAGTCATTGCAAGGAGTCATGCAAGGAGTCATTGCAAGGAGTCAAGGAGTCATGCAAGGAGTCAAGGAGTCACTGCAAGGAGTCATTGCAAGGAGTCATTGCAAGGAGTCATTGCAAGGAGTCATTGCAAGGAGGTCATTGCAAGGAGCCATTGCAAGGAGTCATTGCAAGGAGTCATTGCAAGGAGTCATTGCAAGGAGTCATTGCAAGGAGTCATTGCAAGGAGTCATTGCAAGGAGTCATTGCAAGGAGTCATTGCAAGGAGTCATTGCAAGGAGTCATTGCAAGGAGTCATGAGAGTCATTGCGAGCTGCAAGGAGCCAAGCGCATGGAGTCAAGTGCAAGTTGCAAGTGCAAGGAGTCAAGTGCAAGTTGCAAGTGCAAGGAGTCAAGTGCAAGTTGCAAGTGCAAGGAGTGCAAGTTGCAAGTGCAAGGAGTCAAGTGCAAGTTGCTTCAAGCGCAGGAGGAGTTAAAATCTCTTCTTAGGGCGGCGGGGTAGTGCCGACGACGCTACACGAAAATCGACCCTCTGCGGGGATCGGCGTGGTCGAGGTGCAAAAACTCGAAGTTTTTTGCGATTTCTTTGGGCTCGCGCGACCCGCTGCGGGGATCGGCGTGGTCGAGGTGCAAAAACTCGAGGTTTTTTGCGATTTCTAAAGTTCCCGCGCGACCCTCTGCGGGGATCGGCGTGGTCGAGGTGCAAAAACTCGAGGTTTTTTGCGACTTTTGCTGTTCGAACTGATCCTCGGGAGTTGTCTCGTGGTTCGCGCGCCTGCTCCCGGGACCGGCGGGTCGCGGGTTCGATTCCTCCCTGGTCCGCGGGCGGGCGTCGCAAGATGCAACTTGCATAAAGCAACTTGCGCAGAGCAAGCGCAGAGCAAGTTGCACAGAGCAACTTGCGCAGACCAACTTGCACCGACCAGTTTGCGCAGAGCGCCTTGCCTAGAGCAACTTGCGCAGAGCAACTTACGCAGAGCAACTTGCAGAGCAACTTGCACAGAGCAGCTTGCGCAGAGCAACTTGCAGGGAGCACGCAATTTGCACAGAGCAACTTGCAGGGAGCCACTTGCAGGGACCAACTTGCACGGAGCAACTTGCGCGGAGCAACTTGCGCCGAGCAACTTGCACAGCGCAACTTGCGTAGAGCAACTTGCGCAGACCAACTTGCACCGACCAGTTTGCGCAGAGCACCTTGCCTGGTGCTGTCTCGCGCTTGCTTTACGAATGCTTCGTGTAGGGAAAAAAACGCATCCGGCAGCGTTGGGCCGACCTCGCTTGCGATGTTATGCTTTCGGGCCAACCGTGGTCTAGTTCTAATTGAGCGCTTCTGTGTGAAATGAGCGACTTATCTGCTGAAAACGAAGAATACAGCAAAACATGTCCAGGGAAGACCTAGGTACTCGTATGATCCGGAGCGACCCCAATGCACGGAATGCAAAGCGTGCTGAGGCAACCTTCCTTTCTGGCCTTGAGGCCTAGGCAAAATGCACTGAAACAGATAAATGCGTAACGCATGTTTTAGTCGAGCACGGCCTCGAAATCCTGCAGCTTTGACCAGATGTCCACAGGACTATTTACTTGACTATGTCGGTGTTCAGGCTTCCTAGCCACGGCCGATTCCACAGCATCCCGATGCTCGATATGCTACCACCATCTATGTATCCAGAGCGTGTTTGCAAGGGACATGCCAGGAGCCAAAGGAGCCAAAGGAGCCCAAAGAGAAGAAGGAGCCCAAGGAGCCCAAGGAGCCAAAGGAGCCAAAGGAGCCCAAGGAGCCCAAAGAGCCAAAGGAGCCAAAGGAGCCCAAAGAGAAGAAAGAGAAGCCTCCCGAGCCTAAAGAGCCAGAGGAAAAGCCTGTGAAAGACGCCGAGAAGCCTGTCAAAGACGCCGCTCTTGCCGCCCAGCCCTCAGATGGTGATGCCATGGCTCGCCGCCAGATGGAAAACTGCCAGGGTTCTTGGAAACCGAGAGGAAGCCCAAAGGGCAATCAAGCACTGGCAAGTGTTTCTATTTTTGAAGAGCACCTATTTAAAACCCTTTTCCCAGGTTAATCCGTGCCGTCGACTAGACAAAGCATAGTGGTTTTCAGAAGCCCAAAATGCTGAAGCCCTAAGTTTGCTGACAGGTTCCAGCCATTGGATGGTTTCCGTTTATCAAGGTGAAAAAAGCCGTGGAAGGAATGAAGGACATGGTGCACGGCAAGAGCAACCATCCTTCAAAAGAGAAGAGACCGAAAAAGGCGGGTGTGTTTGTGTGTGCGTCATGTTGCATTCCTGTGGGTATCATGCAAAGAAGGAGTGGTGAGACGGCAAGTCTTGATGCAATACCAGTGTCAGCAACGTGGGCAATTCCGTCCATTGGCCTTGCGCTCAAGCGATGCACGGGCTGATTTGAAGAGCGCCTCTCAGGAGAAGAAGGCCGTGCAAGATGCGTTGCGGTGAAGTGAAGCAAAGAGCTCGTTGAAAGTGAGTGAGTTAGCGAGAGTGTTTTCAAAGTGGCGCTTGAGTTTAATCAGAGTGAAATGCTTTTAGATCTGCGATGAAATGAGGAGAAGCAGCTGGAATCCGTTTGAGTGCATCCTTAGCTTTATGCTGTTTGCCTTTGCATTGAGAGGAACCACCGATTTCAGCTGTCAGGTTCTGTGTTTTGCGTGCCACAGGGACATCCTGCAAAGCTTTTGCAACCCCTCCCCATGTCAGGTCATGTGCGAATCACTTTTCGACATCACACAAATCACCTTGGCAGGCGAAAAAGAAGAAGCCCAAGCAATCTGAATCCGGAGAGTACCAGGACGACGTTGCGTGAGTGCACATTGTCTGTGTGTGTGTGGGATACTTGATTTTGGTTTGTTGTGTTGACATGTTCAATGTGGTTTTATTCTGTTTGATGTGTTGGAGTTTTGCAGCCGAGCCAACGTGAACACTGGGGAGAGACTTTGCTGACTTGAGGGGTTCCACGCAGACTGACTAAGACAGCGCCTTGATGCCTTGCTAAGCCGTGTGTCTTGCACATGACTCAGCACACTGCTGTCTTCTTTTGTTGTGTTCCATGCCTGCTTGCCTGCCTGATCTTCTCAACTGATCAGGATATGGGGGTGCGTCCTTTTGTTTGTGCATATTGGGTTGATATTGCTGGTTGTTTCTGTCTTCACGATAGGTAAGGCAGGAGCAAATAAGTGTAAGTGTACTTCTACTTATCGGCATGCCACCCTGGCACTGTCAATCTCGAGTGCCCAAGTTTCCTGCGCTCGGAAAACCTTGGCAGCAATCATTCTACGACTTTTGTCAGTCGGACGTAGCTGCCGGTGCTCAAATTGCGTCGTGCATACTGCCAGGCCGCCCAACTGCTCGCTGGCTCCCCGAACAGCTTCAACCGTAGGTAGCGTTTGTAGGGGTTATTGCTTTGCTTGCCAGATGCCATGCCATGCGTCTTGGTCGGATGCGCGAGACAGCTGTCGGCAAGGAAAGCAGGAATTGATTTGCGTCCCAAGCAAGTCGAGTTTCACTGGGAATTCCTAGAAGGAAGTCAATTGTTAAGCCACTTCGGTGACTCTCGAGTCATTTCCTCCCAGGTTGGGGGCTTTTGGCCAA